ATCCTACATCTCCACTTATGATTCATTATCTTGTTAAGATTGCTATACACCTAAAGAATTATGCTAATGATAGTCACATCAGACCTGTGGTTCAACCTATGATAGACAAATATAATAAATACTGGAGGGATATACCTTTGCTTTATTCTTTTGCATTCATCCTGGATCCTAGAGCTAAAATGAAAGGTTTCAATAGAGTGCTTAGGAGGTTGGGTAACCTTACTAATACAGATTATACTACTTACCAGTTAGACACTAGAGCTCGACTTACTGATGTCTACAATAAGTATGAGAAAAACAATGGAGCTGTTAGGTTGAGGACTGTTCCTCCTAACCTATCTGGTAAGAAAAGGTCTGCTTGGGATAAAATTTATGAGGAGGATGATGATGTTTGTGGTTCTACTGGTGGTATGCATCCTCTAGCTGCTACTCTAAGTATGGCTAGAGATACCACTGCAACGGCCCTACTACAGGCTACAAGTTCTTCAGCTTCTAATGCTTCTGAACTTGTTTTTTACTTGGACTGTGATACTGTGAACCAGTTAGATGATGATTTTAACATCTTAAACTGGTGGCATCAGCACAAACTCACATATCCAGTGCTGTCAATCATGGCTAAAGATGTTTTAACTATTCATGTGTCCACCATATCTTTAGAATCCACTTTTAGTATGACTGACAGGATCATCGAGGAGCGGCGGAGGAAGCCAAAGCCTGAAATGGTGGAGATGCTGACCTGCATTAAAGATTGGGAGGCTGCAGAAGCAGGGCTGTAACACATGGTGGAGGACAAGGAGCTTGAAGAAGCATTTAAAGAACTTTATCTTGATTAATTATCATTTATGTAATGGGACTGTAATATTATGGACCGGACTTTGATGTAAGGACAATAAACTTTATAATTGGAGCTGAGCTGTACTCTTTTTTCTGTCTAGGATTTCTTACAAGGGTGAGTTTTATCTAGACAGTTTTTTAACGAGGCATCCATTGCACTAAAGCTCCCTATAAACTGTTATTTTTTTTATCTCTGCCTGTGTTTTTGTTATCATTGTTGTGGAATGCAAGTTATGTGCTGTTTATCGTAGGTTTGATCTCAATTCAATAAATAAAGTGGCATATCTGCTTGTCTATCTCAATTTTTATAGAGTACTATGCTCATTCTGAGTCAGTTGGGGGTCCGGCACTTTAGTGCCCGTGCCAGCACGAGCACTGCAGTGCGACCGTGCTCAGTGGCACGACACGGCACGCCTAATCCCTTATAGTGTCGTGCCTGGACCGGTACTTCGGCACGGTGGCACTAACAAGCACGGCACAGCTAACCTACCGTGACGCATAGTGCCGTGCCTAGCCGTGCTGTGCTTGATCGTGCCCGTGCCCATGCCGGACGGCCCGTTTGGCCAAGTATATGCCACTCGCCGTCGCGGCCGCTCAGCAAAAGCCGGGGGCCAGGGCGGCCTCCAAGAAACGCTCTCAGAAGTTAGAATCCATCCACCGGAATTCCCCTTCCACCACTGCACTACGACCCATTACCCATGGCCATGGATCAGGGGCAGCAGGGTCCTCTGTCGTTGCCAGATACGCCATGTGAGGTCCTGGGCCTCATCGTCGGCCGCCTTCCGACGCTGACCGACCATTTCCGCTTCGGCGCCGTCTGCCGGCCGTGGCACGCAGCCGAGCGTCAACTCCAGCGGCCTAGGCAGCTCCCATGGCTCGCGCTTTCCCTTCCCTCGTCTCCGACAGCCGACCGCGCATCCTTCTACAGATTCTCCGACAAGAGCGTCTACCGGCTCCCGTTCCCCGCCGGTGGCAGCGTCTGCGCGGGCCTTGCCGGCTCCATGGACGACTGGCTCGTGGTCGCGCACCGCGAGCGCGGCAACTTCCTCCTCAACCCCTTCACGGGCGCCACGCTCCCGCTCCCGCACCAGAGCACCATCACGCGCAGCCGCTTTCTACCGGACTACAAGCTGGTGGAATACTACCCGCCAAGGAATCAGCGGGAGCCGTGGACGACCCAGGCCGGTGCATCGTCGACTCCGGCGAGCTTTTCTTCTGCCGCCCGGGTCAGACTTCTTGGCGTCGACCCAGGATGGTGGACTTCGAAAGAATCCATGACCCCTTCGACGACATCACCTTCTGCAATGGGAGGCTCTACGGGATGATCAATTCTGGTATGGGACGGGCGTCGGACACGATGCGAGTATTCGACGTGGACGAAGATGCGGACCTGCTCGTCGAGTCTATGAATGATGGAGGTTTTCTGCACAAGCATCCTGAGTACGAAGACGAAGAGGAGCAAGGGGCACCGTACCAGCACCAGCGGTCCTACCTCCAGCCCGACCTCGAGCGGCGGTACCCGCGGCCGGTTGCTCATGATCGAATGCTACTGCTGGCACTACAGCCACAGAGGCGTTCGGCGCACCAGCCTGTTCAAGGTTTTCAACCGCGTACCAGTCCAGCTAGAGGGGTACGCCTCCCATTCGAAGCATGGGTGGAGCTGCAGAACCTGGACGGCGAGGTTCTGTTCCTGGGCGGCAGCGGCCCCAGGTCGTTCGCCGCGTCGGAGCACGACGTTGATGCGGACTGCATCTACTTCACCGATGACCATTGCCAGAAGGAAGACAAGAACATCTCCGTGAGGTCCGAGTCCGACAATTGGATCGTCGATGACCCGGCGGAGACCCAACCGTGCCGCAACATTGGCAGGTACCGCATGAGAGACAAGTCGATCACGTTCCTAGAAGAGCTGCCGTCGAATGAGCGCCGCTCGCCGCCGGTATGGCTTTACCTCTCGGACCAAAGGCGCTAGGGGACGGCAAGAAGATCATGCCGTTTCAGCAAACTCTTGGTAGCGGCAGCGTTACTGTCGACTCGTTGATGTTTTCGTCTGTGTAATAATCTAGCTCCAGTTTGTGTGACTGCATTTCTGAATGGACACGCATTTGCAATCCTTTCTAATCTACTGTGTGGTGCTCCATAAACACGAACATGCATTTCTTCTGAATAGACATGCGTCATGCGAATAGGGAACATAGGGTGTGTTTAGTTTTCTGGTTTAGCTCCTACTCAGGCTTGTATAATACAACTTAGTTCTGTTTGGTTTCCTGTACGTAAGGCCTGCTAGGCAGGCTTGGACAAGCCCATTTCATACGGATTACTTAGCTTGCTGGAAACGCCCGCATCGGTCGTTCTCGCGGAGCCAGGGTCCCCCCCCCGTGCGGTGACCTTGCGTGTGCGACCGCGGGCTCGTGCCCGGCGTAGTGGCCGCTCTCGGCTCCGGCCACCGGGACCAGATCCTGGCGCCCTCACCGCCCCCGGCGGCCCCGCAAGCTAGGGAGGGAGGAAGGTAGGTCGACTGAGCTTCCATGGCGGTGACCTCGCGCGGCGGAGCTTCCATGGCGGGTGGAGGTCCCATCCGTCCTCTCCGGTCGACGAGAGCAACAAGAGATCCTGGCGCCGTCCTCTACTCCACCTCCACCCATGGTGGCCTCCACCTTCAGCGCCGACGAGACGGCCCCACTTCTTCGGCTTCCTCGGCGCCGTCGACGCGCTCGTCTTCTCCTGTAAGCACCCATCACAGCTCCCTCCCTCCCCCGCCGGATCTATCCATCCATTCCTCACTCCTCTCACCCTGTCGCTCCGAAGATGCCTAGGCATGGGCCCCGCCTACGGGACGGCCAAGCGCGGCGTTGGTGTCGCGTCCATGGGTGTCATGCGCCCCGAGCTCGTCATGAAGTCCATCGCCCCCGTCTTCATGGCTGGAGTCCTCGGCATCTATGCCCTCATCATCGCCATCGCCGAGGTGTTGAGGTGCTGCCATGCCCACCACCTGTCGGACGGAAGTCTTCAAAGGGTAAAGTTACCGGCTGAAGGAAGAGGTGATTCTACGCAAACTAAAGACCTGGCACGGCTCATCCAAAACGGCATCACCGGTGAAGCCAAAGTCGGTGAAGTCAGAAAAATTGAATTTTTTCGGCTTCTAGTTCATTTTAACCCCGACTTACAAAACGGCTTCACGCTACAGTGTCTCGATTTGCGCAAAATAAATGAAGCCGAAGTCGGTATAAACCGTGCCAAAGAGACCCTAAATCAGGCAACCAAACACATCAATTCTTAGCCAAGCTTAACTAGTACATGCAACTAAACATGTGCTGTTTGCATTGCCTAAAGCTGGTTAGAGCTAGCACGTCTTAGTTTTTGTTAGTCAGGCTTATCTAGAAAACGAACCAAACACACCCAAAGAGGCCTTGCACTTGTCGGACTGCAGCTGCTGCCTGATAGCCATCCATCAGCAAGACAGGGGAAATGCTCACGATTGGCACAAGCACAATGTAGGTAACATTTTTTCCGAGAACGTGATTAGCACGTGTTTCATTAAGATGTTAATGTAGGTAACATCGTGCCGTGATCGAGGATACGGTGGCAGATTGGAACGCAACAAGCTAGAGAATTTCCCATATTTGTACCAGATCTGTGCCATGGAATGGGGTCGGTCCCCAGTGGAGCATTATACATTTATTTATACCTCGCTTGATAATTTTAATGCTCCTAAAAATAACAAAAGATTTAATCATAGATCGAAACTCCAAAAATTCCGTTAAGAAAAGGCACAAAATACATCAAAGTGCTAGCTATTACACCTTCACATGCTTGTTGCAGGTTTGCACTTTGCAGCACGCCAGCAACGCTGTCGTGCCTGAACCTAGACCTTATTTAGATTGGGGTTAGGAATCAGTATTTGACACTGTAGCATTTTCGTTTGTATTTGACAATTATTGTCCAATCATGACCTAACGAGGCTCAAAAGATTCGTCTCATAATTTACAATTAAACTATGTAATTAGTTATTTTTTTATCTATATTTAATACTCCATGCATGTGTCTAAAGATTTGACATGATGAAGAGAGAGTAAAAAAACTTGCAATCTAAACAAGGCTCTCGTAATAAGCTAGAAAAACAAAGTGACGCTAGAAAAACGATGTCCAGACGTCCAGTCCAAAGCTTAAGCCACCGGAACGACCACGGAGGCAACGAACGGTGAGATCATTGCAACGGTCTCCGCACGTTCCGCGCACTGACCGGTGAGCAGCAGCCGGCCAATCTCGTAGGATACGAACGCGTCGATGCAGGCGTACTGGACCTGCTCCACGGACAGGCGCCGCGCGTCCCACTTGCTCATGGTCACCGACTTGGGCTTGTCGATGAGCACGCCCATGACCTCGCGGGTGAGCGTCTTCAGTGACGCAGTCCGGAGCTCGGGCCGGGCGAGCGCCTCCGCCGCTACGCGCCTCAGGTCCACCGCGTTGGCGACCACAAGGCCGCAGTCCTCGGACAGCCGCTTGACGTCGCCGTCGACCGCCACGCCGAGGAAGCGGTGGTCCGGACACGCGAGGAAGTCTTTCAGGGCGTCCGGGACGTAGTCGGCGTGGAAGATCTGGTAGACGAGGCAGCGGTGGCCCACGCAGAGCTGCAGGACGGCCATTCGGTTCCTGCGGTGCCCGTCCTCGTCGTGGACGACGCGCCACTCGGTGTCGAGGCCGACGATGCGGGGATGGCCATGGCCTTGCTTGCGGACCTCTCGGAGGAAAAGGTTGACGGCGTCGCCGGAGGACGTGATGGTTGTCGGATCACAGTGCCGTCGTCCATGACCACGTCGGTGTCGTATGTGCCCTTCGTCATGGGAGGAGGAGGAGGGCTTTCAATGGTGTCGTCTCTCAGTAACACGGCCGGATGGATCATGGATCGGAAAGCTGCACGAAATGAGTTACGTTGATGAAGGTTCGATCTGTACGAGTGCTTCCTCCCGATCTCGATCGATATATGAGAGGGGAGAGAGGACGACGGTGCTCCGACTGACCCACCGAATCCGAGCAGCGACCAAAAATCGACCAGGATTTGCGGTGCGATCCGTCACAAGTCCGAGGAAACAGGGGCGGACACAAGATATGGCTCTGCCATCCGCGTCTCCCCTCTGGTACGGTAACTCCTCAGTCCTCACCGTGATTGGCGGCCCCTCCTCCGGTTTCCCCCTGGACTCCGTCATCAGTGGCCGTTAACGCTGCAGGAAATCAGCACATGCAGAATCTTGTTTCCTCTCCCTTGTCCATCACTTATTGCTCGACACACCCATCAAAACGGATCGCATCGTTGCTGCTCCTGCACACCTGGAACTCCGCAGTCCGCACGGACAGGCTGCAGCTCGTCGCCGGTCGTGCGTCCAACTGGCAACTGCCCAAGCCACACGGTTTAAAAACCGAAGCGTTCAGTTAAGCCTGAACCCAAATCACATCATAAACTGCACAGTTCAGTGATCAGATCAGGAGTATCAGGTACCGCGCGTGTGCCGTCCTGTCTGTTCTGACCAAGAGGAGAGAAGAAAAGCCTAATGAGAGTCCCCATCTCTCGTCTTTTTTCAGCACCTTTGCTGAAGCTGGACCTAATAAATCTCAAAGCTAGCAGCCTTTCTTTTTATGCACTAGCAAAATCGACCGATCTGGCATTGTCTACCCGTGCTCAGCAGCTCATGCATGCATGATTCACTGCTACCAGCATTCCAGCAGGCAGCAGGCAGCAGGCAGCAGGCAGCAGGAAAAGATATAGTGCTAGAGATGCTTAGCAGATCGAGATGGAGGAAAACATTTTCTGCAAAGAGAGGCTAAGAAACCTTCCAAACATTTCCCAGATTGCTATTTTTTATTGCTCTACACTTTTTTGTGCAAATTACTAACTGTTGGGTTCTTTTCTTCATGAAACTGGATGTGAAGGCACCCAGGGAGAAGGATCAGAATAAGGGGTGGGTGGACAAGGAGAAGAGAAACAGAGAGGGAAATGTTTTGAATACATGAACGGGAGATGGAAGAGGTAACACTTGCTGGCTAGTGCAAGCATTTCCATGTTATTTTTTCTCTTAATAAAATGAAAAACGTGCTTATGGAAAAAAACATTTCCATGTTAATTGTCCATTGCTCGTCACCCAGTCATCACCTACCTGACATGATAACTTGCAGGTGAAACATATATAAAGACTGCATCGGCACAGTGCTGATTGTGGTAAATATCTTTATGTGGAAAATGTTGGAGACGCAAGGGCTGTTATATCAAAGGCTGGCAAAGGTAATTTTATTTGGATGTGCTACTTTTTTTTGAAACATTTTGGATGTGCTACTTGTATGAAATGATCCGGTTGATTCATCAATAATTATGAATGTCAGCTGTTTCAGGCTGGAATTTTGACTCGAATTTGTTTCTAAGAACAAAATTTATTTAGTGAAGATTGCTCTATTTATGTTAAAATTTATTACTGTTGCTCTGAACACCTTTTATTTCATGCAAAAATTGTTTCAGAATCAGGTGTTGTTTGAATAACGCACGGATTTTATTTGTCTTTTTTGTGAGGCCTTAATAATGCGGGTATGTTTGCATTCCAAGGTCTAAATTTAGTTGACTTAGCTTACTAAACTTAAGACCATGGGATTGTTTGGATCATGAACTAAAGTTTAGATTGTCCCATGGACTAAAGTTTTAGATCTACTTCACCCAAAGATTTTATGTCCCGTCCTAAACCTCTATTCTCTCCCCATGTCCAACTCTATCTCTCCATCTCCTTTGTTCTCTATTGCTGCGTGGTCGACGACAACAGACCGGGTAGGCACAAGCAAGCGGCAGTGGCGGGTGGCAGCACCCCCCTCTTGTAGCGCCTCATCAGCGATGGCCTAGCCCATGGTGCGGTGCCACGCCTTGATGAGGCATAAAAGCTGCCCTCCCGGAGCGCCTGTGTTGCCTCGTAGTTCGTTGTTCTTTAGAGCTGTAGGGAAGACTAGCGTGGAAATGGATGAACACGTACTTGTTGGCAACATCCATTAGCTCCCGCGTCATTCGTAGGGCCTCGCACCCGAGCGCATGGACGAGCGCCTCGCGTGTACGTGGTGCCGCAGGTGAAGGCAATGATGACGTCAACGTCGGAGATGTTGGCCAACTCGTTGCGCTTTTTGGAGAAGCGCTGAATGTACTCTCGGAGAGTCTCGCTCGACTTCTGCCTGCAGTTATGCAAACCCAAGAGTTTTCGTGTCGGGTATAGGTAACTTGGAAATGCCCTACGAAGGTCGAGCAGAGGTCGGCGCAGCTGCGGATGCTGTCATTGTCCAGCTGCTCGAGCCACGCCCTCGCTGAGCTAGGCAAGAGCAGCTGGAGGTACTAGACCGCCAAGTCGTCGTCTGCCCCTCCGGCCCTCATCGCGAGCGGGTAGTCCTCGAGCCAGTGGTTGGGGTTCGTATCCTCATCATACTTGCCGATGTGGGTCAACTATCGGAACCGCTTGGGGTAGTGTGCCGCTCGTATCTTGCTCCCGAATGCCAAGGGACCGAAGTGGTCATGGCTCAGGGTCCCCTCCCGTTCGTCCAGGCATGATGATGGCGACTTGGCTCGAGCATGCTGTCTTGCCTCAAATGTGGGTCAACAAACAGTCGGCGCAAGCCGAGCTCGCTTCGCCGTTCATGCTGGGGCTTGGCTCCTCTCTTCCTCGGTCGGTCAAAGCTGTCGCCGCTGTTTGTTGCCTCGGGGGTCATGCACAACGAAGCGATCCCTGTCTGGTACCAGCGTAGGTTGAGATGACCTTGAGGCGGCGTTGCGGCAACGGGATGCCAAGCTTTCGGCCTGTTGCCCGAGGGCGATGCAGAGGAAGCACTAGGCCTCTCAGATCTTTTCATTGGTCTTCGGGTCCGGCGTGTCAGAGATATCTCCCAGGTGACAGGCTGCGCCTGCCATGTTGTATACTCCTACTTCGCATGGGGGAGGCGTAGCAAGCCAGGAGCCCCCGCACATTTGTCGACCTTGTGTTGGACGGTGTGCTCATGCGCGGGCACGCCGTTCGCCTGCTGGAGCTCGATCTCCTCCCTCTTTTCTAGCTTGGCGTGCTCGCCTCTAAGTCGGCTTGCTGAGCGTTGAGGCGCTGAGCCTTCTCCCAGAGGTAGGCAGCGTGGCTAGTTGGACTCAGGTCCAGGGGCGTGACGTCGAGGTTGTCAACAGCTGGCTGCTCCCCGTGGAGGAAAAAGCATGGAGTAGCCATCGGCACAGTGAAGGGACGTTGGACCCCGCAGTGCCCAAGAGGACGACGCTGTGCAGCGCCTCTTGGCTCACGAGGTGCTCCAGTCCAAGTTGGAACACCGTACACGTGCTAGAAACGGTGGGCTAGCGGTAGCCCCTCTTCAGTGATGATCTAGTGATGGACGTTCACCAACGTGTAGAACATCCGGCTACGCTCTGACATGGTGGGCTTCGGGCCCAAACTGAGGTGGATTTGATGGGACACCACCTCTAGGTTGACGTGCAGGAAGAGGGTATGACGTCGGGGACTCATTGTCCTCCTATGAGGTGTCCTCGAAGAGATGGAGTTCACTAACGTGGTCAGTGACGTAGTCCAGGCTCCTGAAGCTGAGAGCCTGGCTGGGACAAAGGCGCTGCCGGCGGGGTTGATCTCACTGGAGAACCGCACGTACCTTCGAGGGCGACGCCTGTGGCTCTGGTAGCGAGGACGGTGGCTCGGGCCACCAAAGGGTGGCGATCACACATGACATTTCCCCCTACCAGGCGCACCATCTACCGTGGGTTCATAACCATGACAAGCATCATGTTGTTCGACGAGGGTCGACGTGTGGACCACCGGTGGCTTACAAGCACTAAGAACACTCAGATACACAAGCGATTTATCCTGGTTCCGGCGTCTGAGCTCTACATCCAGCAGCTTGGTGTTCTTTGTATTAGGAATGCTCAAACGGAGAGTTCTTACGACGAAGGAATCAAGGGAGAGAAGAGTAGGGGGAAGTGCTATGCTAGCCTAAGGTTTTGGCGTGTTCGATTGAACAATCTCTTGATGTTGTACTAGTTGGTTGTTCGATCCCATCCCCTTCTACAGGAGCACGTGCTTCTCCTTATATATTGAGAAGGCGATGGGAGTACAAATTGGAGGGTTTCGTCTAGTGTTTCTCGCTCTTATGCTTCTGGCTCTTTCATGTTGGCGCCATTGGGTCCTTCTTTGTCTTGTAGCCGGGGGCTGACAAAACCTCAACCACTCCTGACGTCTCTGTTGCAGACTGGTGCTTGACTGATATGTGCTATCTGTCATAACGGAGCCTTCCCTAGGTGAGCCTTCTCCTGGCTTCTTTGGCACATCAAGCTCCTCCCTTTGCCAAAAGGGGCTGCCAAGTGGGCCCAGAGCCCCCACTATGGGCTTCGGGGACTTCCCTGTCCTAACGCATCACGCCTGTGGCGTGACTGTGGGGGGTATAACTCTAGGTATCCACGACAAGGGACATGAGCCGCAACATCAGGGACGGTCCAGCCCACGATGTCAAGATGTGCGGCGCACGCCACTCGTCGGCGTACATCGCAAGGCATCTAGAAGATATGATTTATCAGCTTATAGATATTGTAATCCAAATAGAATACTTAGGATATTTTTCTTTTAATCCTACCTCTCCAGAGTAT